ACACGTGCCCATCGACGATTACCCTAATTTCTACGCTGCCTACACCATTGACGCCTGTTTGTTATGTCTATTATATATTGTCTATATATTATATATTGTCTATATATACTATTCAAAAAAAGTAGGGGATATTTGATTTTGGGGGCATAATACTAAAATATGCAAATGACTACGAAAAAAGTCAATATAGAACCTAACAGAAGAAACATTTCCAGTTACATGTGACGCCCAAACGCACCAATAGCTACCGCATGGAATGCAGGTGATGCTTGGGATCATCATGGGGGTCCAACCCAAGATTTGCACGACTCTGACTTTGAACGTTACAGTCATTGTGGCATTGAATTCCAGGGTGGAAACATCAGTTTAATTGTTTTAGTGACCAGAAAACAAATTTTGATATGCGTCGGCTTACCCAAAATGAAAGGTTACGTGCCCTTGGCATGCTACAGATCGGCACAACACAGGCGGTTGTGGCGCGGACGATGAATGTTTCTCAGTCTGTCATAAGCAGGCTATGGTCCAGATACTGTGATACACAATCTGTACAGGACAGACCACGCTCAGGTCGACCAAGGGCGACAACTCAAGCCCAGGATCGATTTATCCGTACCTTGGCCTTGAGAAATCGTGTCATCACAGCAAATCAGATCAGCGCTCGTCTTCAAACAGACACTGGTGTGAGAGTGAGTGGCCAGACGATTCGGAATCGACTGCATAGGGGTCACCTTCGCGCCCGACGTCCTCGCGTGATCCCTTGTTTGAGAGATCATCACATTCAGGCAAGACGTCGTTGGTGTAGGGATCGTCAACACTGGGATAATCGACGCTGGAGCAATGTGATGTTTTCAGATGAGTTAAGGTTCACTGTTGATTTTTTGGACAGACGTAGGAGGGTGTGGCGTCGTCGAAACGAGCGCTTCCAAGACGTTAACGTCATCAGACATGATCGATTTGGGGGTGGTTCTGTTATGGTGTGGGGAGGCATCACTGTTGTTGGAAGAACGGCTTTACATGTTGTTGCAGGGCGTGTTACAGGCCAGTACTACCGGGACAACATCTTGGCAGTCCATGTTGTGCCGTTCGCACGACGTCATGGCCGCCGTTTCATCTTCCAGGATGACAACGCAAGATGTCACAGGGCCAGGATCGTTACAGGTTACCTCCAACAACAGAACATCACCACATTACCTTGGCCAGCACTGAGTCCCGACCTCTCCCCCATCGAGCATGTCTGGGACATGCTTGGACAGAGGTTACGTCAACGTCAACAACGTCCTGCCAATGTCCAAGAACTTGCTGCTGCGTTGCAACAGGAATGGGACAATCTGGACCAAAATGACCTTAGACGTCTCATTAGGAGTATGCCACGTCGGATCAATGCTTGTTTGGCAAACAGAGGAGGATTTACCCGTTGCTGACTTGGTTGTGATGCTGTGGTAACTTTGCTGTTTGACCCCGGGTATCATTTTACCCTTATAATGGTCAGTCTGTGCCTTACTTAGTCTAACGATCATTTGGAATAAATCGATGAATGTGAACTTCATTGCATTTTGTCATTTGTTTCTTCGTCAGTTTCATTAGGTGATTTTAATAACACTTAAAAATCAAATATCCCCTACTTTTTTTGAATAGTATATTATATACTGTCTATATATTATGTATTGTCTAGATATTATGTATTGTCTATATATTATATATTGTCTATATATTACATATTATCTATATATTATATATTATCTATGTATTATATATTGTTTATATATTATATATTGTCTATATATTATATATTGTCTAGATGGAGTGTAAATTACTAATGGTTTCTAATTAAATAAACTCCCCTTTCGTCTTCTGTCAGTGTTTAACGTCCGCTTCCACTGAGGGTGATATCGCAGACAAATTGTCTTATTTTTATATAGCGGGTCTTTTCTGTGGGAAGAAACCGGAGTACATACGCCCACACCAGGAATCGAAACCACGACCACAAACCAGAGGTGACCGACCAGCTAGAACACGAAGCGTGACACTCTAGACCACTAGGCCATCCCAATGCCTGCTTACTGGTCTCTTGTATACCCGTGATTTCGGGGATGCGCGATTTATTTATTATTCGATCATTAAATGGTGCCAGTAATATGCATGGCATCCATACCTTATTTGGAGAGTCTGACCAACCAAGATTTCCTTATATTGAGATGGACATTCACATTTACTTGTAACTTAACCTGGGTTGATTTCCTAATAATATGGTCAGCTAGATACATTGCGTCCCCGTCCGTACATACCACCGTTTAGTTTGATAATTACTAATTACGAGGTGAAATGGTGTGCCTTGATATGGGAGGAAGAGAGAGAGAGAGAGAGAGAGAGAGAGGGGGGGGGGAGAGGGAGAGGGGTAGAGAAATGGGGTTTAACGTCCACTCGACACAAATCGGGTCATTTCGGAACTAACTCATGTGGTTCAATTTTATTTCAATAATTCTCTTGCGCGAAGGGGTCTTTAGCAGTGGGAGGAAACCGTAGAACCCACGAGGTTTTACAGGCGATCCTACTCCTTGTCACCTACAACCGGGGAATTGAAACCGCGCCAGTTGACGCAATGACGGACCTTATGATACAGCGCGTACGTGGTAACCATTCGACCATCCAACTCCCCTGTTCCTTGATAAACACATTAATGAATGTATTATCTATTTCTGTCTCAAGTCAAGTATAGAAGCAGCGTCGTTATTATGATGGAAGTAACTTTCAACGGACAAGGCTAGGAGTTAGTCAAATGAGAGAAGTCCAAATTATTTTAAATGCGTATTTATTAACAACAAATTATATAATATTAAATTTATGAAGACCTTGCGTTTATTTAGGTTGGGGGGGGGGGGTATGGCCGAATGGTTAGCACGTGCGTGCTGTATCATACGACCTGTCATTGAGTCAACTGGCGTGGTTTCGAATCCCCGGTTGTACGTGACAAGGAGTAGGGTCGTCTGTCCAACCTCGTGGGTTTTCTCCGGGTCCTCCGGTTTCCTCCCACTGCTAAAGACCCCTACGCGCAGGCGAATTGTGGAAATAGAATTAAGCCATGTGTTAGTCCCGAAATGACCTAGTTTGTGTCGAGTGGACGTTAAACCCCATTTCTCTCTCTTATGTAGGTTCGAGAATTTTAATGAGAATCGTTCGGTCGTTCGTTCGTTCGTGGAATTTTACGTCCAACTGATATCATGGACATCATATTGGGAAACAAATTGCCAAGTATAAATTCAATAATGATAAACATAACAGAATGAAACATTTCAGACAAAGAACGAATAGTAATAATAATGACAAAGGCCAAACATATAGATGTTATACATATTTGAAATCCTGGAAACATACTACATATTCTGATAATACAATTAATTATAAATCAATTAGAAATATATACATTATTCACATAAATCATTCCGTAAATGGACATGAATATGGTTATCTACCTTTATAAAAACGACCGCGAAACGACTGGTTTGTAAACTGTTTTTTGATTGGTTCGTAGACTTTAGCTACAATTAAGGCCAGGGCAGATAATTTGAAGTCGTGAAGACCCTACGGATTCTCCCAGGGTATAGTGGAGTAGAACGGAATGAGTACACTGGGGATACCGGGGATGTTGAAGTATAGGTTGTCATTTTATAAAGGCCTTTGAAAAGCATGCCTGTTCAATAGGCACCTCTATTCGATTTGTTTGTTGGATATTTTAGTAAATACACCTGATCTTGTCACAAGAACTGAATATTTGAAAACGTTTAACAATTTAAAAATGATATCCTACAACTATGGTGGTCGATAGTGGCCATTAAAATATGAAAGTATTAAAGATGCGACAAAGTTACAGCTGTGTTATCTATTCGGGCTTTCATACCGACAACGCGACAAAATAATGCAACACGATGTGCCCATGAGCCGACTAGAGAAGACACAGCAAAGTTCTACTCCAGCTCATATAAGACAAACTGTTGGATGTTTAACCCCATTTCATTTCCATTTAAAACAACACCAGATTCCAGCCTTTTACCCGTCTTCTCGAACATACCACTATAATGCAAATCACATTCATCCAAACTGCGACTTTTAGGTTTGTCATACGGCGTATGCCCACCAAACTACCACCCTCTGTAAGTAGACGGGGGTTTGAATGGTCGAATGGTTGAATCATGAGGTCTGTCATTAAGTAAAATGGCGTGGCTTCGATTCCCCGGTTGTAGGTGTAGGGTCGTCTGTCCAATCTCGTGAGTTTTCGCCGGGTTCTCCGGTTTCCTCCCACTGTCACAGACCCTTAAGCGCAAGCGAATTATTGAAATAAAATTTAACCATATGTTAGTCCTGAAATGACCTAGTTTGTGTCGTGTGGACGTTAAACTCTTGGGTTTTCTCCGGGTCCCCCGTTTTCCTCCCACTGCTAAAGACCCCTTCGTGCAGGCAATTATTGAACCAAATGACCTAGTTCGTGTCGAGTGCCCCCCCCCTCTCTCTCTCTCTCTGTATGACGTAGACGTTCAACGTAAAGTAGGTTGTAATGCTTTTTTTGATATCGGAAGACATTGGACTTTCATCAAATTTCTTCCTGATCCCTCTATCTCCAGTGTAGTATTTCGTTCCACAAGATCTCTGCTATCTGCTAGAATAATGTTAGCGAATAGTTTGTTTGGATTGTTAAGGGACACAGATGCTGCAGGACTCTTTTGGTTAAAAAAAGGTAAACAAAACCTCACTGTTCAAATTGTCCCAAACCTTGCCATAACTATTTCTATAGAATATGCATCATATATGTTGATGATCTGCGAATTGATGATCTGCTCTCATAGAGAATATGTATTAAAGGTCTGGATATGTCCGATGGAACTGAAAGCGCTAGCCGCATAATACTGTGTTTCTTTCCTCAAGGTTTTGCTATTTCTTGCAAATGATTATTCAGAATATTTGTTCCTATGCATTTAAAAGACACTGTGAAAAATAAACCTCAGAACTATGAAAATATTACCTTTATTTAATCTAATGCGTATCAAAAAATAAGTCTATAAGTTTCGACAACATTCTAGATGTATACTCGTGTATAAAATATTATAACTTTGAACCAACCGCTTTTGACTTGCCAGTCCCTCTGTCCTGCACAACTGTCAAGTGGAAACCGGACTGCACAATCCAGGGGAACTATCTCGACCAACAACGGGATCGAGCCTCGGACTTCCTGGTTAACGAACAAGTGTCTTACCCACTTAATCTCAAAATAAAGCTATTAATACAATCTGATTAAAATACAAATTTATATTTCGTTTTGTTTTTTTCATACTTTCGATGGCCAACACTACATGAAGAACTGACCAGTTGTAAAAGAAGGTCGCGTCAGGTGTCATACGAGCGTCTATTGACCTTATGACGTCAGACATTGATTAATCAATCAGCGTTGACGTTTCAAGTGGTTTACCCACAGTTCCGTGCACCTCACGCCAAAAACTCGTTTCTTTGGCTAATCCCTCACATCATCCAGAATGCGGTCATATAACGACTCTTCCAGATCCTAGTGTAGTAAAGACAAGTAAAACGAAATTTTGCACTATAAAAAACGAAACGAAATAGGATCTGTGTTTTAATCAGATAATACAGATGGTTATTCCTTCGAGAGAAACAATAATTGACGTACGGTTTATAAGCCGATATTTCAGAATGAAGTTTGACAAACTTCCTGATTCCCAATTTAAGTCTTCAAATCTAGTTTATCAATTCATTTTACTCTTTTACTGGTTTAAATCAGTTCGAATCAGTTTCAATACAATCCATTCGAAATGAAATGAAATGAATTAAAATGGGTCTTAACGTCCTACTATCTCAATGATCATATGACTGGTAACATTACTTATATAACTAATTTTATCATATTACTGGTAGCAAAACTTAGATAGCGAATCTAAATACTGGTAACATTACTTACATACACAAAAAACACATACTTATGGAAAAACAGCTACTTATTTATTTGGGCGACGTTTCGAAGAGTATTCTCTCAACGTTATCAAGCTAATACAGTAATACAAGAATAATGAGATCAATATATACATAAAACTGTAACAACAATTCATGAAACCATACAGGACAACAACAAGATCAAAGGGGTTTATTCTACAAAAACTAATTAAGTGTGAAGAGTAGCCATTGAGTATAGTTAAGCAATTAGGTAGCTATGATGATAGATACAATACTACCGGCAGAATGGGATAGTACCTACAATACAATTATGATATACCATGGTTTGTTTAGATAATGGTAATTAACTTTATATGTCTGTGTGATTAAATGTACAATTAGACTAGAGTAACCCATATGTGTAATAATTCTAAGAAATAGAGTGGATATAACTGATAAATTGATAATAATATTAGAAAAATGAAAAATAATAAAACTCATAAAAATTCAAAGGTTTCTTATCCACTGTACTGTAGAATGAGTGGGGGTGATGGAAAACACATAATTTAGGTATATTTAATAAGTTCATCATAAGCACTAGGCAGGAATATCCCTGTGTCGCGGTTGAGGTCTGGACTGTTTCTTTTAATGTGTATGGCCTCAATAATTTTGCGGGTTTTTTCTATCGGTAGGTTGGCCGCCAGGGTTCTATACGTTTTAATTCCGTGTCCTGGGTTGGATTGGTGTGTTGGGCCACAGCTGAATTGGTAGTAGAGGATTTAGATTTATGCTGACTGATTCTCTTGTCTAAAGGCTGTCTAGTTTCTCCGATGTATTTTTTGTCACACGTGCAGGTTATTTCATAAACACATTCTTTTGGGTTCAGTTGTTTGGTTGGGGGAAGTTTGCCACTGGCCTTCAGGAGATCTTTGAGAGTTCTTCCTTTGGAAAATGTTACCTGGATGCCTGTTGGGGTTAGGAGTCTTCTGTGGCCCAACACACACAATGGCTACTCTTCACACTTAATTAGTTTTTGTAGAATAAACCCCTTTGATCCTGTTGTTGTCCTGTATGGTTTCATGAATTGTTGTTACAGTTTTCTGTATATATTGATCTCATTATTCTTGTATTACTGTATTAGCTTGATAACGTTGAGAGAATACTCTTCGAAACGTCGCCCAAATAAATAAGTAGCTGTTTTTCCATAAGTATGTGTTTTTTGTGTAATGCTCTACCCAGTTACTAAATGCCTCTTAAAAATTATTACTTACATAGTTAATCGTGTCATATTACTGGTAACATTACTTACATAGTTAATCTTATCTTAATACAGGTAACATTACTTACATAGTTAATCTCATCTTAATACTGGTAACGTTACTTACATAGTTAATCTTAATACTGGTAACATTACTTACATAGTTAATCTTAATTCTGGTAACATTACTTGCTTAGCTGATCATATTACTGGTAACATTACTTGCTTAGCTGATCATGTTACTGGTAACATTACTTATATAGTTATTAAATCTTATATTACTGGTAACATTATTTGTATAACTTATCGTATCATTTTCCCTGTTAATATTCTACCGACTAAATATCTTAATCCGGCAAGGTGTCGTTAGAATAAATTATAAACAAGAACATTTTTTTATGGTATCAATATCGGACAGAGAAAAGTGAAGAATATGTTGGTGGTAAATCTTCTGGTTCATTTGGTATCGGTGCAGTGCATTCTTGTGGAGTCACTGATCTTGTTGGGGAACCCAATCCTTGTGGGAAAACTGGTGTGAGTGGAAAACCAGATATTACGGGGAGCAGATTTCCATCAGCTGAAAGTAAATTTAAAACAAACCGATAACATTAAATAGTACATGAAGTGAAAACAGATTGTCTGGGTTTTTTATCTTTTTGGGGTAATGATCTTTCTTTACAGATGTCTTAAAATCAGCTTGAACAGATAGGTTCAAGACAGTTTCAACGAAACGGCAGCATAGGGGTGGGGTTTTATATTGGAGATCTCTCAAGATCGTATAGAACAGATGGGTTAAAGACAGATTTAACGAAATCGCAGCATATGGGTTGATATTCTAAATGAGATCTCTTAAGATCCGTTAGGTTAGAACAGATAGGTTCAAGTTAGTTTCAACCGAACGGCGGCTAAGGCAGTGGACATTTAAATTGCAGATCTATTAAGATCAACTGAAACAGAAGGGTTCAAGTCAGTTTTAACGAAACTGTGGCATAGGGGTGGAAATGCAAATTGGAGATCTTTTAAAATAGCCAGCACCAAATGTGTTCAATATCGGATCAAGACAGTTTCGATGAAACAACAGCATAGAAGTGGGGATTCAAATTGGAGATCTCTTAAGATCAGCTACATCAGATCGGATCAAAACAGTTTCATTGAAACAACGGCATAGGGGCTGGGATTCAAAATGGGGACATTTTTTGTAAAAGCTGTCTGATTACTTATTTATTCTCCAAGGTACAGTTAAGACAGAGGTATTATGACTGCTATTTTTGTATGAGGAACAAGGTCCCAAGGGGCCACAATAACGCAAATTTATATCCGTCGGGGCGATTGAGGGTAATTATTTAACACTGGCTGAGTAATCTGATTTGAAAGTAATGAAACTCAGAATTTGCAAACCGCTGAAAGCTGCATTGAAACCATGTGTTTTTCTTCTGTTTGAGAGTAGTCTCTCTCCTTCACCTAGGCCCTGGGTTGGATGTAAACAAGATTTTTGAAAATATGTTGAATTGCAGGTCACCGATTCCGTTTAGATTCGAACGAGTTTATAAACGCCAGCCTGGGGTCTGTAACCCGCACATGTAGTACGAGCTAAGCAATTTGACTTTCATCGGTTAAAGGCTAGTTACTTATGCCCCGTCAGATCGGGTTGGCGTCCTTATTGCACTGCTGCGACCGTACAGCCACCAGAAAATGCATAAGGTCGTCGGCAAACGTGAACACAACGCAAAACAATGTCCCAAAAATGTACAAATTTTCACAGCTTTCCAGGTGAGATCGCAGAACCTTGGCGTTTGTTTTGAACATGCTGAAAACAAACGCTGTGACTCGGCGATCTTTGGCGACCATGGAGACAACAGCACGATATCTGACGTTTCCACCACGCTTTTACCACGCTTATGGTGATCTTGACGCGCTCTGAATATTTTCCGTCTACGTAGCAGCGCAGTAAGGACGCCACCCCGGTCTGACCGAGGTATTAAGACTTAATTTAAGTTACGCATGTTGCTGATTCTGGCTGCAAGGTACTTTACTGCGCCTGCTCAATTTAACTGGAACCGGTATGTTTAAAACGATTTGTTTCGACGGCTTTTAAAAAATGGCTTCTTGAAAACAGATAGAGTGTTGGTTTTATGCTAAACTGGTTTATTTGCCCAAGCTTTGCGTTCAGACGGCGCTTTTAAACCAGCTTAACAAATCGTCTGGACGGAATATTAAAGATACATTATGTAAGATTTAGATAACGAACTGGCCGTTCTTGCTATAATAGTTACATTAAAGATACATTATGTAATATTTAGATAAATGGCTGACCATTCTTGCTACAATAGCTCAAAAATAGATAATGTAAAATGAAAATAGTAAAAATTTTATTCGAATTCTTCATTCTGAGCCAAGTTATCACCGTTTGTTGTTTTGACAAGCTGTGCATAGTGGTAACCAGGGCACTGGTATATTCGAAACTTTCCCATTTTTAAATTACATTTTTAAATGGCGAACCGTTCTAATGTAGTTAAAATCTTGAGTAGCCGATGCCATCGAGAGTTGATTATGGTCTTGTTTTGTTAATAAATGTCCAATTAATAGTTTGTATAACATTTCAGGCCTAAAAAAGGCCTGCAATAGGCAAATTTAGCGCTTGCATAATGTAAGTTTAATCGTGAAATATAAAGTGCAAAAGGCTAAAACGGAACTATACAGTATAAAACGTTAAATATATTTACGTGTGTACTTTATTGTTGCGTTTCGGGCCAGGTAACGTTTTTTTAAACGTTTTTTACACACACAGCAACATACAACAAGCATCGTGATTATAACTAAACATGCTGTCGTTACGATGGAAACTATTATAGCAATTGATGTACTGAAAATACAAAAATATAGAAATTGATATACTGGAAATACAAAAATAAAGCAATTGATATACTGGAAAAACAAAAATACAGCAATTGAAAAATATAGCAATTGATGTACTGGAAATGAAAAATATAGCAATTGATGTACTGGAAATAAAAATATAGCAATTGATGTACTGAAAATACAAAAATATAGTAATTGATGTACTGGAAATACAAAAATAAAATGAAATGAAATGGGGTTTAACGTCTTACTTTTCTGCACCAACTGGGCTAATGAAGACGGGCATACGCCATACAGTGTGCTATGATGGATATTTAGCCCGGACTGCGGCGCTACGGCCTACTCTTATATCGAATTCCAACTGTCAAGGGTTCTTTTACGTGTGTGTCAACTTGAAGGCGGGACCTTGGCTTCTGTGTTATACATCGCATGCGCGAAGGCGAATTACCGCAGCCTACTTCCGGTCAAACTACACTAGGATCTGGAAGAGTTGTTATATAAAGGTTAGTGCTAAAAGATAAGGCCAGCTCAATTTTTCCTCATAGGTCATAGGTCACGAGGTGTAACTCTAACCCTGGACCTAGCCGCCAACAATCACGTGCGCTAACCCCATTTACATCTCAGCGACCTTGACAAAAATTCAGCTGGCCTTAACAAATAGATTTAACCTTATATAACCCGCGTTCTAAATGAAGTGAAGGATTAGCCAATGAAACGGTCTGTTACGGCGAGTTTTGGCTTGAGGTGCCCAGAACTGAGAGTAACCCACTAGGAACATCAACGTTGATTGATCAGTCAAATGTCTGACGTCATAGGGTCATAAGCCGTTCGTAGAGTAGGCCATCGAAAGTATAAAAAACGAAAGTATAAAAAAAGAAACGAAATATAGATCTGTATTTTGATCAGTTTTGTTAATAATATGCCACCAACTACCTTGATGGGATTGAAGATGAACTGGAATTTTCTTCACAACAGGGTACATATTTGTTAAGTTCTCCACAACAACCATAATGACAATAAGCATACTTGTTCTTCGTTACACTACACTGTGCAGCATCAATATCTACAAATCAATCAAAAAATAAAACAAAATGGGGTTTAACGTCCTATTGTTCTGCTCCGGCTAGGCTAATAAAGGCGGGCTAATACGCCATAAATTGTGCTATTAGGGACATTTTGCACTATGGCCTACTATTATATCGAATTCCAACTGCCATGGGGTCTTTTACGTGCACGGCAATGTTTACACGGGACCTCGGTTTTTCGTCCCATCCAAACGATTAGACAACTGTCCTGCATCACTAAAAAGGTGAAACCACGTTGTTAAATCCCGATGAACTTTCTTTGCCAATGCAGGGATCGACCAAGCGACCCCCAGGTTAGCGAGCCACCGCCTTACCTACTTAGCCAACGTGGCTCCCTACAAAAGAAACAATATTATAATGGCGATATTTGTATTTCATTCTTTCAATATTTTATTCGCATATTATTCATTCATTCAATTAAACATTTCAATTACTCTAATGTTTCTATTAAAGATACATTATGGGAGATTTTAATAGAGAGTTGATCATTCTTACTATTGAATATTGAGCTAAATGACAATCCGGGGTGAACGCCTGAGGGGGGTAGTTCAAGATTCCTATTGACCGGTGCATAAATCCAAGCCGAATCCAAACCATCCGTGGGTCTACAGAGATGATTGTGTGCTTGTTGTGTAAATAAAGATCTAATTTATAATTTCTATGACATCTGAAGCCTAAATAAAGACTTGCAATAATCAGATTTAGCTCTTGCATAATGTTTGTTTAATTCTTTAACGACAGACGGTTGGCAGCTGACACATTAAAGATACATTAGCTAAGAGTTTAATAATAGAGTTGGCCATTCTTGCTATAATAATTCAAAAATAGATGATAAAAAAAGAAATATTGAAAATTTCATTCAAATTACTTCATTCTCAGCCAAGTTATCATTGTTTGTAGTTTTGACAAGATGTGTGCACAGTGCTAACCAGGGCACTGGTATAATCGCGACTTAGCCTCGCTTTCCCATTTTTAAATTAAGTTTTTAAATGACGAACCGTTTAATCTAGTTAAAATTTCGAGAAAGACCTGCAACAGGCAGATTTAGCTCTTGCATACTGTATGTTTAATTTAACTATCTTATTGTTTTAATTGATTGTAATGTCTTTTATATTTTAATGGTTGTTGGTTTATTGTTAATTGCTGGGATATCATTTTATTATAAATACCAATTTGTAAATTTGAGAAAAATAGGTCATCGGCTAGATTATCCTGTCTTTTACATCATCATAGACAAAGTCTAAGGGAGGTAACTAGTCCTAAAAGAAGATGTTGACGCCCATGTAGTTAATTTAAGAATGACATTTCAAACAATCCATTTGATTGCATTGCCAGTTCAATATCCAAGACTCTTAATTTGTTTTATTGTAAAATTTCTCTCTTTCTGGGCCATATCAATCTGATTACAATACAGATCTATATTTCGTTTCGTTTTTTATACTTTCGATGGTCTAAACTACATGAAGATCTGACAAGTTATAGTGGGAGTTCACGTCAAAGGTCAAACGAGCGGCTTTTGACCCTATGACGTCAGATATTGATTAATCAATCGGCGTTGACGTTGCTATTGGTTTACCCACAGTTCCGTGCATAAAAAGGCCAAGAACTCGTCGTAACAGACCGTTTATTGGGTAATTCCTCACTTCAACTAGAACGCCTGTTATATAACAACACTTCCAGATCCTATACTAGTGTAGTAAAGATAAGTAAAACGAAATTTTGAACTTTAAAAACGAAACGAAATAGGATCTGTGTTTTATGTCTATGTTTTCTAAATTAATCCTAATTCGTCTTCACGATTCATGTTTGTTTATATTAACGCAAGAGTTATGGGATTTATTGCGGGAGGGGGCGCAACTCTACTTGGCCAAAGATATTGTATAATCAACCACATTAATAAACAAACTCTCGGTTACGCATGGGCAATGAACCCTTTCGTCAAATATTGACAATGGTCCCCGTTGAAGACTACGAGGTTCTGGGTGACTGAGACTATACACAGTACCGATTGTTCGTCACGGATCGTTCGTTGGCGAGATGACAGGTGGTGCACGTCACGTCATATATTTATTTATTTTGTATACATTATTAAAAACTATACCAGGAAGACTATGTAAATTAATGTCATCTTATGTATTATATACTTGTAAACTTTTGTTGTACCTTACCTAATATTATTTATAATCTATTGTGATGGAAATCTATTATTCTAAGAATGTATATATGTATAAATACTGTATATGTGTGTGTGTGTGTGTGTGTGTGAGGGTGAGGGGTGGGGGTGGGGGTGATATTTTCAATAGTTTATAATATACTTTATTACTATCTGAAGACTCCTATAGACGGGCAGACAGCTAGCTTATATGATTTAATGTATGTTTGAATGAAGTAAAGTGGAGAATTTTTTTACCTAGACGTATTTTTTTATTTATTTATGTAAAGTTGATAAAGTACAAGTACTTCTTTGTAAGGTGAAGTAAAGTGGAGAATATTTTACCTGGACGCATTTGTTCACCTGTAAAATTTTATAGTTCTGTACAAATCTAATCACAGTACAGGGCCACGTTTGACAAAGCAATTACAGGTCTTTCTTTAGGCCTGAAATGTTATCTAAATTATTAATTAGACATTAAATAACATATCCAGACCATAATCAACTCTCGATGGCATTGCCAGCCTGCGATATTTAGCAGATTGGAATACATTTTCTGAAAAATAATTAAACGTAAAAATGGATAATCGAGACTGGTTTTTTTATCGTACCGACTTAAGTAATGATGATCGAGACTAGCATAAAATTCAAAAGCTAATATCTCGGTTCATAGTGGAGCAATTTGATTGAAATTATCAGCATATTCTCTTTACGTGATCTATTTGATAACTATTATAGCGACAACTGCCAACCTTCATCTTATCGCCCATAATGCTCATTTAAGAATTTAGTCAACTTTCAATCACTGTTTAAGAGAGAGAGAGAGAGAGAGAGAGAGAGAGAGAGAGAGAGAGAGAAATGGGGTTTAACGTCCACTCGACACAAACCAGGTCATTTCGGGACTAACATATGGTTTAATTTTATTTCAATAATTCGCTTGCGCGTAGGGGTCTTTAGCAGTGGGAGGAAACCGGAGGACCCGGAGAAAACCCACGAGGTTGGACAGGCGACCCTACTCCTTGCCACGTACAACCGAGGATTCGAAACCAAGCCAGTCGACTCAATGACAGACTTAATGATACAGCGCGCGCACGCTAACCATTCAGTCACCCCCCCCCCCCCCCACTGTTTAAGAGAAATATCTTTGATCCAGAAACACAAAACTTTGAACATATAGTTTCTTATTGATGTATGACAGGGCTCCTGTCGATATGGTCCACTGTTTCGTAACTTGTAGAAGTGTTACAGGTTACATGTAACTAGAGAATTATGATATAAAGCATGATAACAGCTCACGTGCTACCAATACAAGAGACTTCACAATCTAGACTAACAAGGGAGCTCACTTTAATAATAGCGAAACCGGGGCGTGGTCTACATCAAAGGCTTAAACAATATTTGGAAATTGATTTTTATCCACATTGGTGGTGTTTCTACGGTCTATCTATAGGCCGGTAGACTTTCCTGTCATTTGCTCACATCTATCGATGGTTTGTCTGTCATCATCTCAGATCGGTAGACGATGATTTTCCTGTCAGAACCTCCCATTTGTCGACGATAATTTGTCTGTCAATAGCTCGCATCTGTTAACGATGAATTGTCTGTTAGTTACTCATATCTTTCGATGGTGATATATCTACCTGTAGCCATAGTCGTCGACGATAATTTGTTTATCAGTAGCCACAGCCGTCGACGATTTGGTATTAGTAGCTTACATCGGTCAACGATAGTTTGACTACTAGTAGCTCACGTCGATCGACGATGATTTCCTTGCAAGAAGCCCACACCTGGCGAGCAGTATCAACATTTGTAATTCTTATTTAAGGTTTGCTGTCTCCTTTTCTTTATTTATTAAATATTTTTTTATTTACTTATTTATCGAATTTTGTGTTTTCACTGGAATAGCCATTTCAATCTAAATAATAATTACAAATAGCAACACTCGTGCACTTCATTGTTATTATTCTGTTATTATTTTATACGCCTGTGATTTTATGTCGAAATGACCTTCAGGTAGACGAAATGGGTTAGGGTATACGTTGATATAGTTAACTTACCTTTTATACAGGTGAGAATTAATACACATATTCCCCACAGAAGACAGGTACACCAGTATGGCGCCATCTATAGCCAGCGCCGTACACGGTCGTTTAAAAGCAACATTAAAATCAGAAATACAATTCTTAATTATCAAAAGCCATGGTTGTTAGAATGTTGACAAAATACAAACCGGATACAAACACGTCATTTCTATTTTAAACTAAGTTTAAAATATGATCTATAAAACATACAGGTAAATTTAATGTGCAATCCAGTCGGTTATGTGAGCCCAAAATAGAATGAAGTGAAATGGAGTGTAACGTATCACCTTTCTCATCCCACCGGGATAATGAAGACAGGCATCAACCCTGCAGCCGGTTCTTAGGGGAATTTTGCCTGGACAGCGACCCGTTAGCCTACTCTAATATCGAATTCCACCTGTCAAGGATTCTTTCACGTATACGGTCTTTCGTCCCATCCGAACGGAAAATGAAATGAAATGGGGTTTGACGTCCTACTGTTCTGCTCTGACGGGGCTAATGAAGAAGGGCATACGCCATACAGTGTGCTATGAGGGAAATTTTGCCTATATCGAATTCCAACTGCCCTAGACGCTGTCTTTGCCAGTGCAGGACGCACCAGTAACAGGAGAAACGCACGCTGGAGAAACCGGAGAACTTTCTCGCCCAATACCAGGTTACTCATTAGTCCCCCCCCCCCCCCCTTGGGACAGCAATTGAATTCCAACCGTCATGATTTTTTTTATCCGTACCTGGGACCTCGGTTTTTCGCCCCATCGGAACGACTATACACTGTTCAGTGTCCTGCTACACTGGCGTGGTTTCGATTCACAGGTTGTGCGTGACAAGGAGTTGGGTCGCCTGACCAACCTCGTGGGTTTACTCCGGGTCCTCCGTTTTCCTCCCACTGCTGAAGACCCCTACGCGCAAGCGAATTATTGAAATAAAATTAAACCATATGTTAGTCCCGAATCTGCGGATGAGTGAAGAATGCAGACAACTCTGTCCGTGGGAGAGAGAGAGAGAGAAATGGGGTTTAACGTCCACTCGACACAACTAGGTCATTTCGGGACTAACATATGGTTTAATTTCATTTCAATAGTTCGCTTGCGCATAGGGGTCTTTAGCAGTGGGAGGAAACCGGAGGACCCGGAGAAAACCCACGAGGTTGGACAGGCGACCCTACTCGTTGTCACGTACAACCGGGGATTCGAAACCACGCCAGTCGACTCAATGACAGGCTTTATGATACAGCGCGCGCACGCTAACCATTCAGCCATCCAACCCCCCCTGTCCGTGGGAATGATGTTGAGCAATGTTTTATTTGCCGCCAGTGATCCGTGGTCCGTCTTATCTACCGTCATGACATTTTGTATTATTCGCCATGACAGACTTTCAAAACATATACGAGATCATAAGCAGGGTTGGGGTTTTAAGAGGGCAACTGTGAGAGCACCTCTCCTTGACCCCAAGGACTAAATCCATCCCTAGTCATAAAATGGATACCGAAAGTAGAAGCTAAAAGCTAAACATATATGGTTTCTGAATCCAAAACATACATATTTTCAAATTTATTTCATTTTTTAAAAAAAATCGATAATTTAAATTTTAAAAACAAATGGTTATTCAGTTTTCCACAATTTTCGATTTTAATTATTATTCAGAGAAGCCAACTTTCTTTTCCCAGATGGCCATTTCCTTCTCAAATTCTGGATTATTTTTCAATTGTTGAATAATTAAGACAGAAAGATTTGATACAGTCTTCATATCCTCCTCCATGCCTGTTGGTTGTCGGTTATCTTTTATTGGCTGGTCTTGTATATCAGGGTGGAGACAGGTGTAATCTAGAAAAATATAAATATAAACTCTATCCATATGTATTACATCAGGGTGGAGACAGGTGTAATCTTAAAACATATAAATATAAAATCTATCTCTACCTTTTCGCAAGACAAAATGAAATGAAATGAAATGGGGTTTAACGTCCTACTTTTCCCAGCTGTCTAGTCGTTTGGATGGGACGAAAAACCGAGGTCCAGTGTACACATTGCGTGCACGTAAAAGATCCCCTGGCAGTTGGAATTCGATAAAAGAGTAAGCCATAGTGCCGCTTTCCGCTTTCCTGGCACAATTTACCTCATAGCACCCTGTATGGCGTATACCTGTGTTCATAAGCCCTATCGGGGCAGAACAGTAGGACGTTAAAATCCATTTCATTTTATTTTAAGCTCAAAGGAGAACACTATACGAAACCTCGTGTTAAACCAGTGATATTTTTCCGTGGAAATTGTGTTGTGTTGTTAATCTGCTCAATCCAGGATGAAATATGTTTCCTGTTTTTGTAACACAATGTTATCTTGAACAAAGGTGGCCAGGCAACGAAACGTACGCCAATCAGTTGCTTAGTCACCCGTGCTAAACAACTTGAAGAGAGAGAGAAATGTGGTTTAACGTCCACTCGACACAAACTAGGTAATTTCGGGACTAACATGGTTTTTAAAATTTTATTTCAATAATTCGCTTGCGCGTAGTGGTCTTTAGCAGAGGAGGAAACCGGAGGACCCGGAGAAAACCCACGAGGTTGGACAGGCGATCCTACTCCTTGTCACGTACAACCGCGGATTCGAAACCACGCCAGTTGACTCAATGACAGACCTTATGATACAAGCTAGAAGGTCTTGCCCCGGGTACGATCCCAGTGTTAGCCGAGATATGTACTTGGGTGTTGTCACGCTGGTTACGAAATAGTGGGCCTGGTGACACTGCCCTGGCAAAATTCTCCTTATAGCACACTGCATTGCTATGCCCGTCTTCATTAGTCCGGATGGTGCAGAATAGTAGGACATTAACCATCGTGTGTACGAAATATTGTTTCTTACCTGGTGGTTTGTCGACAATGCCCCGCACCATTGACCCCCAGATGTACGAGAACACGTTCAGATTAACATCTCGTTTAGAAGGGGGTTCGTCCTGGGTCCTTGTCATGACGTCCATCAAAATCGCCAAAAATAGATTAATAAGTATAATCGTAACACAGATCACAAAAAAGCTAAACCAAATAATTTCCACAGTGTCCAGTGCAACCTCGGAGTTGGTCTTCTTAAACGTGGTATCTCCAATTAAACCTATAAACATGGTTTCCATAGAAGTGATCATTGACTTGTATGGAGCTCCAGTTCGGCCAAACATGAAATAACTGGCCGAGGAGAAACTTAAGAGATTGATGAGAATGAACGTGGCGAATCCTGGAAAAACCTTACTGGTTTGTTTCAGCACATCGAAAACCTTGAAAGTTATGTCCGTGAACGCCATTGCCTTTAATAAACGTAGAGTTGCTATGGTTACTAACATCCCTAAAACGGAGACGAACGCATAGTCCCATATAACAACTCGGTAAAAATTGACGAATTCCCGGTTGTTTTCGTTGAACGCTGCTAAAGCCTGATTGGCGTATTGGTCGCGTAGAATATAAAACACAATAGCGACCACTGCAACTCCAACCGTAAAGAATTCCGCCAGGTTCCAAAACTTTGTAAAGAACAGCCACTTCTGCTTGGCAAACTTTATACCTATTATGACGGCACTAACGACGATGTACAACATCGCAACAAGTTCACAGATTAGAATAAACTTGCCCAATGTTCCTACGTGTTGCGATGATCGGAAGGGAAAAATGTTTTTATACGTGACCACTCCGCCAGTCTCTGGAAATTCCGTCAAGATACTGACATAAACAAACATGTTAATGTCTATATTGTAGAGTGTGAATTCGAAGAAGACGGCCCTCGTTTGCCGATCAATCCAGTGAGTCTCAAAAAGTTCTTGTAAAGATTCCGTGGAGACAATTTTGTTGATATCCATGTTGGCAATATATCCCCCACCGCCATATAGAGTTAGCAAGCCGGCTATTGGAGCTCCCCAGATACTGGTAGCCGAGGTGAACGTCCAGGCATCGACGGTCAAGGTACTTTCTTCTGCATCAGAACATGGTTGTGGTGTCCAGTTGGGACAATAGTTATCTGTATTTTCCTGTATGACGTCATAGACAGGTATACACGTGGTATGGCCAATATACGGATAACTGCAATTACCTTTTAAAAAAATATAATACCATATAATATAAAGACTTCCGGTTCCGAGAGGTGGGGGGGGGGGTACTTTTGTTCAAGGGATAGCTTCATTAAAGATACATTATTTAAGATTTAGATAAAGAGTTGGCTGTTTTTGCAATTAAAGCTCAAAATAGATAATGTGAAATGAAGATATTGAACTTTCATTCAAATTACTTCATTCTGAGCCACGTTATCACTGTTTGTAGTTTTGACAAGATGTGTGCATTGTCGTAACCAGGGCACTAGTATATTCGAGACTAAACCTCGCTTTCCCATTTTTAAATCAAATTTTTAAATGGCGAACCGTTCTAATCTAGATATGGTCTTGTTTTGTTAAAGGGCTAATCCCAATATTTTTTGGAGAATCAAACTGCTTAATTTGGGGTTAAAATCCCTTAAAATCCTCTAGCTAAGGGCCGAGCAACTAACTCAATATTTGTGATAAGTTTTCAAACAACTTAAACCCGTCAGTCTTCCTCTGGAAATGGAGGCCGGTGTCCAAAGCTGTATTATGCGGTGTCTGGATAAAACCAGACTTTTATCTTATAAAAATAATGTGTAGGTGAAATTTGCCTTTCGTTATCAAGTAGAGCACATTGGTCATTCACTATATAGACCTCTCGAGGAACGGGAATCGATTACCAGGTCACCCAACGAAAAAAACTGACCCGAAATCTTAAAAGGGTTACATGTCCGGATAAGCAGTTTTGACGTTCACATCCAAACGACTCAATATTTTGAGCTGGAATTTTGAGAGAAGGTAAATACACCATTCCTCTATATTTTGGCGCTTAAATTTTATACGTACTCCGACTTTTTTTTTGAGACTCTCTTGAAATCGGGATAGTCCCTTTAACAAATGTCTAATTAATAATTTATATAACATTTCAGCCTAAAGAAAGACCTGTAATAGGCAGATTTAGCTCTAACATAATGTATGTTTAAATGTGACAATATTCCGTATTCCTATTCTCAAATTGAATCAGGTTGAAACTATATGTCAGATCTCACATTTCATAATATATTCTCTATTCTATTGTTTGACCTAATTTGTCAGTACGTTTGTTCGTTCGTTTGTGGTGCTTAAAATCCGCTTCTTCCTAGGGTGGTATCGCAGACTAAATTAATCTTAGAAAATTAACTTAAGGTTGACCAGGAAGTAGCATAACTCCGAAACCGGAAGTGGTAGTCTATGATCGCCAACAGGCTTATGTTATTCCCCGGTCCAAGCTACCCCTGTCACCCTCGAGACAGCCCTAATGTAGCCGACAACCCTGAACAGACAGCACCTTTACACCAAATTTCAGACTCGGGACAGCCCTAGTGTAGCTGGCAACCTTGATCAGACAGACAGACAACCACACGACAGTCACAAATATTAATATAGATAATAGTAATATAGTACCGGCTCTCGCCCTGACTTGTCTTAATCTTGGTGGTCCGACTTTCACATTGGCACTGTTGTAAGAAAACAGACGTTCTGTGGCTGTCATGCGTATTCCCCTGTAATCTTCTTCCGGAAATAAAGATGGCAGTGCTGTTTTGTTCAACCATTCAAAATAATGACTTGACTGAATAACCTGCGTGATCAAACATAGCATATTATAAACACGTATTCTAAATATCCACATACTGGTCAGAGGATAAGTAGCGGGGATGCTTTGTCTCATGGTTTAGAGTTTATGGCCCCCCTCCCCTTGAGTTGTTACACCCGCTCTCAAATGGTTTAAAAACGGGGTTCAATTCTCTAATCTTAATCATGCTCAACCAATATACACCATGGATCAGCTACGAGAGAACCCCCAAACCCCCACCATCACCACCACCACACCCTTAACGACATAAATATTGAGTTTAGTGCCCTCAAATGATCTTGTTCATCGTGCAAAATCAAAAGTCACCACATCCCAGATACTGGCAAATGGAAAAAATAAAAAGAATAATGGAAAAAGAATACTTTTATGAAACATGAACAATAATACAAATATGAAAAAAGTTCACTAGTCCGACATGTAACAAAATACAACATATATGGTTATCAAAATAAGGGGGGTTGGGTGGCCGAATGGTTAGCACGTGCGTGCTGTATCATACGGCCTGTCATAGAGTCAACTGGCGTGGTTTCTAATCCCCGGTTGTACCTGACAAGGAGTAGGGTCGCATGTCCAACCTCGTGTGTTTTCTCCGGGTCCTCCGGTTTCCTCCCACTGCTAAAGACCCCTACGCGCAAGCGAAATATTGCAATAAAATTAAAAACCATATGTCCGAAATGACCAAGTTTGTGTCGAGTGGACGTTAAACCCCCATTTCTCTCTCTCTCTCTCTCTCTCTCTCTCTCTCTCTCTCTCAAAATAACAATCAGATGATTTAAAATAGGCGTTCGAGGTCCCGTGTATACATTGGCGTGCAGGTCACAAACCCATTGACCGTTGGGAGTAGGTCGTAGCGCTGCTGTCCGGGCAAAGGTGCCTTTATAGCCCACTGTATGGTGTATGCCCGTCTTCATTAGCCCAGTCAGTGCAGAATTTGTAGGATGTTAAACCTTATTTCATTTTATTTCCGTTTTACTCACCTTTTCGTATTTTCTATAAGGTTTGGGCGGGTCTAGGAAATTATCTGTTATATATGTATGTAGATTATAGGATTGTGTATCTCGATTACTGTATAAGATACAACACAATAGAAACAAGAACACGATATTCACTACTAATTCCTTTATCACATTCTTCATCTGGTTATCTCGAAGTCTTTGAGCTTTAATATGTGTAAAATCTTCATCTATTGTTGGTTGATGAGTTGATATTCGTGGTCGTTCTGTAATTAAAATAGTTAACTTCGATCAATTTAACCTGCCCAACCTCGTGGGTTTTCTCTCTGGGTCCTTCACTTTCCTCCCACTCTAAAGATCCCCATGCGAGAAAGCGGATTATTGAAATTAAAAAATTGAACCATATGTCAACATGATCGTATGAATTAAAACTTCTTTGTGATTGTTAACATAATATGATACAAACAATCAAATTTTTGCCAGAAGCTGAGTTTGATCTGGTGTCCTGTTCACAAGGTTTTCAGAAAAGGAGAAATAACTCCGGAACGGGCGGTCCGGTGCGCACCACAATCGAACTCATCCAAGATCAAGTAATTATTAACATTGTTTAGTTTCGTCTAAATTGTGGTCTCTAGACGGCCCACAAATATCCTACATAAAATTAAGGGCCCGTGCCCCCAAGAAGTTGCGGTCCGGACTAGGGGCAACAGAACTCTCTTGGCCCCAATGCTCCAAAGCAAATTTGAAAAGGTCCGTTAGAAACTATACCTTCTATCGCAGTTTCTTAAAAGGGGCCATAACTCCGGAACGAAGATATTTTTATAGTTAACATTTATTTTAAGGGACCATGACCTTGGTATGTGTGTAACATGCACGACTAATATTTGCGTCAAGGGGGAGGGGTCGTTTTAATAGAATGTTACGGTCACCTACGATTGTGGTGTAATGCATATATATCTGAACGGTATTTAAAAATCAAAATCAAACAACAATCGTGATCTCTATGCACGTTATTTTCGTACAATCAGGGACAATAATCCAGGAAGTTACGGTCCGACAAGTGTAGCAATATTGCTACAATTTTTTCTCTTGAAATTAATGATGACATTATATTGTATTAATTAATATCTTTGGCAAGTTATTAGATTTACACATATGTACTTAAATCAAGTTAGCGAATGAATGACATATTGTTACATAAAAAAGAGTCATAATGTGGTAAACATTCAATTCTAGGTTGATAACAGATATCTTGTGGGAAATTTCTCCAGTAAATTTCCACTAACTATATAAGGGTGGGCTTCAACATCATATGGCTTAATTAACCAATCGTTATAATTAATTACGTCATATTTGACCAATTAGATAATTGAATGTCCAAAACCAAAGCTACAAGACTATCATATATTTGGGTATTTGTCAGACAGCAGCTTGATTCTAGAAGGGAAAAGATGTGGCAATTTCTATCAGCAGACTCGCCCAAGCGAATCTGGCTGGATGGTGTTTGAGAGAATGACTTTTATTGTACTATGCTTGTATCTATGTATCCGGCTATGATATATAAAATCTAAAAACGAACTGTTGCATTGTTATTCCTGGTAAGACAAACGTCTTAACTGAGAAAACAGTAAATGCACAACGTGTAGGGGAAGCAAAGACGACAAATGAAAATACTAGACGATCACAAGGCTACTAAAATATGTAGTTAGAAAAGATGCATGGGTCATACGTAGGATGTGGCGACCAGATTTGGTGGCCCGCTCTCCATGTCTGACAGAAGACCGATGGGGCTACACAAGTGCCACAATCAAACCCGTCTGAGATCTTTGGGATATAAACACGTATGTGAAGTTTCAGTAAAATCAGATACAAATTGCGACATGTAGAATGTCCATAAACGAATGTGAACTGAAATCGGGATGGGCGAGGGCGACGGCATAATACGTCCACATAAGTCTGATAGTGTAGACTGGCCTTTAAAGAAATTATTTTATTGTTAATGGACAGACCTATTTTAATTTTTCCATGTGTTGATGTGAATTCTGATATTTCTTTCAAATTGTACTGTGTAGGCCGATTTATTTTCGGTGATTTCAACAACAGTCCGGCTATAACTGCGATAAACAAAACCTGAAAATAGATATGTGTACACTTAGTGCTGCCCAAAAACAATGGTTAAGGGCCTCTTTACATCGAAACGGCTAACCGTCGTTTGCGAGTTAGGTGGTAAAGTTTGATTTATAGATAAGTATTTAGAACGAAAGCAGTCTAGTTACTTATTAGAAGAATAGACAGGGACAGGGCCGTAACTAGCTCAGAGCAACGAGGGGGGGGGGGCGGCAAGTGTTCTCGGGGGTGCTGTAAAATTGATGGACAATGTATATCTATTGTTTTTATGGTCGACAATTTTTTCACGGGCCTAGAGAGGGGGATTAACTCCCACCGTGTAATTTGAGTATTTCGCGTCCTTATAGTCTCTGTTCGTCATCTGAGGGACTGCTAATTCCTTGCCTTGCAAAATCTCATATTGTGGAAGTTAAAACTCTTAACAGAGTATCGGTCCAAAAAATGGTTCCATGCCGTTAAACAGGCATTATACAAGAGCTCAATCTGCCTATTACAGGTCCTCTCATCTGTACGACTGTCCCCACCCTCCTTGCAAGTTTCTTAGGAATCAAATCCGACTAACTAACAACCCCCGCCCTTTTCTTCAAGCAAAGTCCACGGTCACCACATCCCTGGTTCTCGTCACTTTGAAAGAGAGAGAGAGAGAAATGGGGTTCAACGTCCACTCGACACAGACTAGGTCATTTCGGGACTAACATGGTATTATTTTACTTCAATAAGTCGCTTGTACGTAGGGGTCTTTAGCAGTGGGAGGAAACCGGAAGACGCGTCACTTAGATCTCATTAGCTAATGACAATGTTTAATAATCAACTTACTTTAAATGGATCCACAAATAACAAAGATTGTAAAAATGAAAGAATGAATGTAGTCAGCCATTCCTCAGAAACATCTTTACCCCATTCTATGCTATAAAGCATGATGAAGAAACAAGAAACAAACGATGCCACAAAAGACAGAAACCATCCAATATAAACACCCCAACTTGGCAAACTAGCATCATTTATTGCTATATTATCTGGTATTACCAAAATATCTTCCAATTTCTGGCTGAATTCCAGTTTCTCTCGCATGTATTTCGGGAACCACCGCCGAATTTGTTTTTTTCTCCTCTCCCATGGTTTTGGCTTCGACTTCCGGAACACCGTCATTATGACGTAAACCGGAATGGCGGTTAAAATGACGCTAACTAAAGATATGTACACCTGACTTGGATTAAATTTGATTGGTCCCAGCTCGATTGAAGACGACCTCTGTCTATCTTTGTTGTCTCCGTTTTCAAAAAACATGGCGTTTGAAATCATGCACAAAAACAGCAACGTAACACCACAAGCAACTCGCGCAACACGGCTGAAGTTGCTTTTGACTGGTCGAAATAATATGGATACCCAAACGTGTTCATCTGTCAAGTGATTCCTGGCATGCTCCAAGAACAATCCCTTGAAATTATGAAAATTTTCCGCGCCACCGACTGGCAGCACTCTATCTATGACCCCTTCTTCAATGGAGAACCATTTATTACATAAAAACACAAAACTGAAACATAAAACAAAAATATTCAATCTAAATAAACCAAGATAGATTAAGCAATCCTCGACTCTATACTAGAATATCCCGGGATTCAATACCCGTGCGCCAGGGACCGGATTCCATACTAGAATGTCCCGGGTTCCAATGCCCGTGCGATCAGGGAAGGGGACTCTATTCTAGAATATCCCGGGATCCAATACCCGTGCGATCAGGGAACGGGACTCTATTCTAGAATGTCCCGTGATCCAATACCTGTGCGATCAGCGAACGGGACTCTATACTAGAATGTCCCGGGATCCAATACCCGTGCGATCAGGGCACGGGACTCTATTCTAGAATGTCCCGTGATCCAATACCTGTGCGATCAGCGAACGGGACTCTATACTAGAATGTCCCGGGTACCAATACCCGTGTGATCAGGGAACGTGACTCTATTCTAGAAGAATATCCCGGGATTCAATACCCGTATGATCAGGGAACGGGACTATTCTAGAATATCCCGGGATCCAATACCCGTGCGATCAGGGAACGGGACTCTATACTAGAATGTCCCGGGTTCCAATACCCGTGTGATCAGGGAACGGGACTCCATTCTAGAATAACCCGGGATCCAATACCCGTGCGACAAGGAACGGGCTTTATTCTAGACTGTCTCGGATTCTATTACCCGAGCGACCAGGGAACACAGATGACAAAAAGTGACGTAGTTTGACAGGTATAGGTACCCATTTTAATTTTTTCTCACACTTACATCAATTTTTGATAAGTTATCTCAAAGGTGTTAAAACAAATTCCTTAAAGCGGAAACGCATAATGCGTTCCAGAATGTTTAGCATTTGGTTGGGACCTCCAAAATTCCCAGAGCTGTTTAAGTCAGTCGACAAGACATTTTATCTCCAAGGAAATATTATTGTTAAAACAAATTAAGAGCTGTTTCGAGTTACCTTTCATCAGTTTGTATATCAACAACTTCCACTCGGTTCAGACTCCAAGAAGCATATTTTCCTGTACCAGCGTTATCGTGCCAGATCCGTAAATACTGAAGATTTCCCAGTGTTTCTGGTACCGCCATTAGAAAGTGCATGACGCTTCCAGCTTTAAAACCCTAATACAAACAGAAAGAATAATCAATAAAAGGTCGTCAAGTTCGAATCTATCTAGAACAACCAGGTTTACTGCCAGCTTCCAAGGTGGTGCGATCTCGAACGGTTGTATCCGGTCACAAACGACCTGTCCGAAAGAAAAAAAGAGAATGCGATTGGCGATTAAACCTCGATATCGAATTGCACTATTCTATCCATATCAGTTGTTGTTCAATTTCAGGAAGGTTGGTTGGGTGGTCGAATGGTTAATACGAGCGCATTGCATCATAAGGTATGTCAGTGAGTCAAGTGACGTGGTTTCGATTCCCCGCTGGTACCTGACAAGGAGTAGGGTCGCCTGTCCAACCTCGTAGGTTTTCTCCGTGTCCTCCGCCCCCCCCCCCCCATTGCTAAAGACTCCTACGCGCAAGCAATCAATTGAAATAAAATTGGTCCATTGGTCCCGAAATGACCTAGTTTGTGTGAAGTGGACGTTATACCTAATCTCTCTCTCTCTCTATCTCCGTGTCCTCGGGTTTTCCCCCATTGCTAAAGACTGCTACGCGCAAGCGATTGATTGAAATAAAATTGGACCATTGGTCCCGAAATGACTTAGTTTGTATCGAGTGGACGTTAAACCTAATCTCTTCCTCCTCTCTCTCTCTCTCTCTCTCTCTGTCTCTCGATTGATCGATATCAAATTCTTGGGATAACAGTACCTCAGCTAGGCGTTAGATCATACGGCTTGTCATTCAGTCCAGTGGAGTGGCGTGGTTTCCATCCCAAGCTTGTACGTGACAAATATTGCCTGTCCAACCCAGTGAATTTTGTCCGGGTACTTCTCTTTCCTTCCACCTTTCTCTCCCTCTCCCTCTCTCTCTCTCTCTCTCTCCACTTACCTTCCGAACTCCGTCTGATAGTTTGCGCACATCCGTATTGTTCTTTTCACCATAAATATCAAAGCTAACATTGGACATGGTGCCGCCTTCTCTGACAAAGCTTGTATAAACTGTTATAAGATAGTAATATTGATCTTCCCGGCAATTATCTTCTAATAACGTAACACCCCACTGGAATAAACACAGTCAGAGCAGATTACAATTAGTTATATCTACAATTGTAATCTGATATAAATACGGGTCTATATTTCGTTTTTGTTTTATACTTTCAATGGCCCACACTACATGAAGATCTGACCAGTTGTGCAGGGGGATCGGGTCAGGAGTCATACAAGCGGCGTTTGACCCTATGACGTCAAATATTGATTAATCAATCAGCGTTGACGTTTCTAGGGGTTTATCCACAGTTCCGTGCAGAGCACGCATAGAGCTCGCCGTAACAGACCCTTTCATTGGCTAATTCCTCACTTCAACTAGAACGTCTGTTATATAACGACTCTACCAGTTCCAGGGGCGGATCCAGGAATTTTCGCAGTAGGGGGGTTGCCAGGTTCCTGAGAAAATGTATCCCCCCCCCCCCCTCGGCTTGAAATTATTTGAAAAATACATGGTCTCTATCGTCATTTTGGCGTATATACATACACATTGAGCTTTTTAAGCAGAGAAATCCAACATCCTGTTTGACGTCAATTTTTATTATGAATTAATACGATGACATTGTGATTCAATTTAATTACTGATGCAAAGCATTAATTGTGATATCACATATGTCTATATAATTATCTCGCGCTTTGAGTGCCCATCATGTCGCACCATCTGACGATAAAGGATCTGTATTTTAATCACATTGCTAAAGTTGTTGATTCCGATCATGCAACTATCAGATTATTTTTAAGTTTCCACATCTTAATCCACCCTAAACTGTACGCCAATCGATTATTAAATATTTAAATTTAAAATTTTCTCGGGATTTTCCAGCGTGTTTCCCCTCTTGTCTGTGGTGCTGACGAGGACAGTTTCTAGTCGTTCCGATAGGACAAAGAATCCCTGACAGAGAGTAGGCCCTAGCGCCAATATTCGGACAAAATTTTCCCTATAGTACACTTCATGGCCGTCTTCATTAGCCAGTCGGTGCAGAACAGGAGGACGTTAAACCCCATTGCATTCAATTCTGTATCAGGGAAATTGAAGCCAGGAGATCCCTGATTCGATCAGGGTGTGGACAGAGAAATTACTCTGCGAGGGTCTGACAAGGTAAAGCGTTTAGTTGTTCATAAAATAACCCACGACAGCTAGACACACCGGTGCCTGGGCAAAATACCCCCCAAGAACACTGCATTGTGCATGTCCGTCTTAGTCTTACTTCTCACGGTTCGTTTTCATTCCCAAACAAATATTCTTAACTGCCTCTTGTAATATGAGTTGAATACTCGTTTAACTCAATCATGTTACGAGGGCCAAGGTGACTAAGTGGGTAGGACGCTGGTTTCCGGGATTTTCCGACGTGGTTTCCCCTTGTCAGTGATGCAGGACATAGGGCCTGGCAAGGACAAATGTCTAGCCGTTCGGATGATACGACAGCCGAGGTCCCGTGTATACATTGGCGTGTACGTAAAAGATCCCTTGGCAGTTGGAATTCGATATAAGAGTAGGCCATAGTGCCGCTGCCCGAGCAAAATTTCCCTCATAGCAAATCCTATAGCGTATGCTTGTCTTCATTAGCCCAGTATAGGAGCAGAACAGTAGGACGTTTAACCCCATTTCATTTTAACCACCTTACCTCAAGAACATCAAACAAATCTCTCCATCGTCCCCACAATGCCAGGAATATTCCTATAATAAGAACAGTGACAATAGCACCGAGAACAGCACCTTGAGATATAATGTCGAATTTACTGAAGACGGTGGAGAAGTCTATAGAATTGGGAGGCACGAACAAAGCGATCGACATAACTCCCCCTGCATCTCCTGGACATCGGCAGGTTGTTACACCATGCAACACATCTCTTTCAGCCTGTTCAAAATGAACATAAACATAAATTAATTTAAAAATACGTTTAGGTTAAAAAGATCAACCCTTTTTATTTCTTCGTACTGATATATTTCAAATCATAAGCTAGTTCGGGAGCTGTCTAGTCGTTCTGATGGGACGAAAAACCGAGGTCCCTTGTACACATTGGCAGATGGAATTCGATATAAGAGTAGGCCAAAGTGCCGCTGCCCGGACAAAATTTCCCTTGTGGCACACTGCATGGCGCACGCCCCTCTTCAGTTGGAGCAGAATAGTGGGGCGCTAAACCCCATTTCATTTTATTTCATAAGCTTGTTCATATATATTCAACTTTATTTTTTAAAACACATCAGCAACAATCATTCGAAATGTTCAAAATTAAGGTGGGTATTTAAACATAAAACGGGCACTTATAATTTAAAAAAAAAACTCTACCAAAACAGTATATTTGAAGAGTTCAAAACAAAGTCGAGAATTATGGATAATGTTTTGGTTCCTGAAGGACTAAGGCTAAATCAGTGGTTCTCAACCTTCTGTTGCCAACGGCACACCTTGGAACACATAAAAAAAATAGCGGCACACCTGGCTAAATATGGATATGAAAAATATTTGAATTTTGCAAAATAAAAACATGGCAAGTCAGACGGCATACTACCGTAGACAGAGACTAGTCATAGACACATAGAATAACTCAAACTACATAAAGAACTTATGATTAGACACCTGTGAATACTAAATTGGGATCACATGGTTTTCCGCATTTTCTTAGTGTGCCGTTAAAAATTTGGTGGCACACTGATTACGAATCACTGGGCTAAAGATTCAAAGACATCCTCATCCCACCACACCCAATAATTGACGTACCTCACATTCATCATCCCGCCAATCTTGAAGTTGACCAGCCCACGTTAAACAGGAGAAGGATTGGAAACTGATACCAAACGGTGATGTTAATACATCTGTAGAATTACTGGTAGTATTGTCTACTGATCGCCGTTTTCTAGATACTTGGATACCATCCTCATCTGTTACAAATATAGATTTAAAACATAACGGTATACTGTCGTCATCTGTTACAAATATACATTTGAAATACTCGCTTAAAGCATAATGTATCATGCGACATTAAATAATGTAACAACATCGTCATCTGTTACAAGTAAACATGTGAAATAGTCTGTTAAACATAATGTTATATCATCATGTCTATAACAGGTACACATGTTAAATAGTCGGTAAAACTTAATGTTATACAGTCGTCAACCATAACAACTGTATTTGAAATACTCAGTTAAAGATACATTATGGGAGATTAGATAACGAGTTGGCAGTTTTCACAAAAATAGTTAAAAACTACATAATGTAAAGGCAATTTGCTGAAAATTCCAGTCATATTGATCCACTATGAACCGAGAAATAAGCGATCGAAAGTTTCGCATAGCCTCGGTCATCATTACTGAAGTCGGTACGACAAAAATCATAGTCTCGATTATCCATTTAATCGTTAAATCGAGAAGGAAAGTTATGCAGCAAATCGGATCATAATCCAACAATTATCGCAGGCTAGCGTTGACATCCAGAGTTGATTATGGTCTTGTCATGTTGATAAATGTCTAGATAATAGTTATATAACATTTCAGGCCTAAAGAAAGACCTGTAATTCGCAGATTTAGCTCTTGCATATTGTATGTTTAAATATACTATTATCCCGTCATCATCCCATCTGATTAAAATACAGATCTATACTTCGTTTCCTATTTATACTTTTGATGGCCTATACATTACATGAAGATCTGAGCAGTTGTTTTGGGAGGTCGCGTCAGAGGTTATACGAGGGGATGTTGACTCTATGACGTCAGACATTTGATTAACTAATCAGACCGTTTCATTGGATAATCCTTCTCATCCCCCAGAACGTGGGTTATATAACAACACGTCTATATTTAGTGTAGTAGGGACAAGTAAAACGAAATTTTGAACTATAAAATCGAAACGAAATCTATAATTAAAGTCGATTAAAACATAATCTTTTGTGCGACACGATATGCATTTTGTATGTATACTGTATACCAACACAATCATAAACCAATAATTATTAGAAATACATTTACCATTAGGGAGATAGTTTTGGGATTCAACAACACGAAGAGGATTATAAACAAATTTCTTACCTTTAAAATAAGGTCTTAGACCTAAATATATAACACCCTTTCTTTTAATTTTCCCTGGTTTCAAACAAGCCACAAATGTCAATCCATCCGATGCTCTTGGAACATCAGTTTCTTTGAAATCATATTCACTATCCGTGGGTGGCAGTAGACTCCTCCAGAACCAATCATAAGAAACTGCCTGGGTTTCTGGTTGTATTCCCAGACAAAGGTATTCTTTCTTATTCCTATACAAAGACCTCTGGTAGAACAGTTTCGAAGCATCGCCTTCTATAAATGTAGGCACAACTCTCACGTATTTCGGGGGAACTGGATCTTTGAAAGAGATTTTAATTTTGTTTGGTTTGATGATACGCTTGTCGCCTACTCGCAGAGAGGCTTTCACAATTGGCCCTTTTACACGAGCCGAGTTCGTGCCTTGGATATAGATGTTCTTTTTCAGAATAACTGTCTGAAATTATAAAATAGAATGTTAGATAGATGACTTCCTCAAACAAAATCTGCTTGTAGAAGGAGAAACAGCAAGTACGTTTTTTTTTTCAGAATAACTGTCTGTAATTATAAACATAGAATATTATATAGTTGACTTCCTCAAACAAAATATGCCTGTAGAAGGAAAAACAGCAAGTAAGGGTTGTTTTTTCATTCAAATTAGAATAAACTGAAAATTGGTTCATGTTGGTTCATAATGAGGTAGACCTAACCCTTGGGGTAAAAATGAAGGAAAATAATCATATTAAAAATTTCATAAAGAGAAAAGAAAAATTAGATCGCCGAGGTAATGCCATGGTGACTCAAAGAGCATGCCACTGGTTTAGTAACCAGGCGGTGTTCACTTGTCAGTAGTCCAGGGTGGACGGCCTGGCAAGAAACAGCGTCTAGTCGTTCGGATATGATGAAAAGCCAAGTAAAGGTCCCCGTGTACATTTTTGTCGTGTACGTAAAAGAACCCTTTGGAATTTGATGACGAGAAGATGAAAACACCTTTGTCCGAGCAATATTATCCCCACGGCATGACCGTCTTCATTAGCCGGTTTGGTCTATAAATATTTAGATGAACTCAAATCGAGAAAAAACGTACCCTCATTTGAATTTCTGCGTCATCTGGTACTGGTATGCCCTCTACACTTGTAATCACACCATCTTTAAATTCAGTCGTATTTTGCTGTGTCTTTAATACATCTCTAACAGAAGCCCTCTGGAAGTTGATTTTGAATGTTTTACTGGCCACGGTCACTGGTTTGTCGGTTGTTGTGTATTTATTCAATATGGTGAAAGAGTTGTTCCACATGTTATCATTTTTCTCAACGTTATCGTTCGCCTATTGCAAGAAATATAGAATACAATGTTATCTAATTGAAGTGGTATCAGATGTTTATCTTAATGAGAAGTGGTATCAGATGTTTATCTTAATGAGAAGTGGTATCGGATGTTATTGTATGAGAAGTGGTATCAGATGTTATAGAAGTGATATCAGATGTTATAGAAGTGATATCAGAAGTTATAGAAATAGTGTCAGATGTTATCATAATGAGAAGTGGTATCAGATGTTATCGTAATGAGAAGTGGCATCAGATGATATAGAAGTGATATCAGATGTTATAGAAATAGTGTCAGATGTTATCATAATGAGAAGTGGTATCAGATGTTATCGTAATGAGAAGTGATATCAGATGTTATAGAAGTGATATCAGATGTTATAGAAATAGTGTCAGATGTTATCATAATGAGAGGTGGTATCAGATGTTATCGTAATGAGAAGTGGTATCATATGTTATAGAATGAGAAGTGGTATCAGATGTTATAGAAATGACTAGTGGTATAAGATGTTCTAGAAATGACAAGTGGTATCAGATGTTCTAGAAATGAGGAGTTGTATTGGTATTAGTCATGCGACTATTTACTTAATCTACCATATTACCCGTGGTTATCCACGGTGGCTCAGTGAGTAAGGGGCTAGCTCGGTAACCAGGATGTACTAGGTTGATCAGGGTGTTGGTTGAGAAAGGATTTTGCAGCGTGCCCCTACTTGTCAGCGATGCGGGGAGGAAGTCCTTGCACGAATCGTCTAGTCACACGAATGGGACGAAAAACCGAGACCCTGTGTACACGTTGGTTAACTGTGCACGTAAAAAAACGATGGCAGTTGGATTTCGACGGAGAAAGGTCCTAAATACATGGTAGGTGCAGAAATATATGATGTTAAACCACATAGTGAGAGGTTTAATTCGTAACAGCCAATTGTATTCTAACCTTAAACATAATGACCCGTATAAACATGGGTGTTAAAATTCCCCACGCAGCCCTGTATACTATTAGAAACAATTTGATTAGACATTAAGCCCACTGTTATGAACAAGAACTTTAAAGAAAATCTATCCGACAGCAAAGAAGTACAAGATCAGTTTCCGTCTATTCTTCCTCGAATTTCAACTGCCAGGGGATATTTTACGTGCACCCCTATTAAGTCCACTTTAGTACAGCTTCGGCTGTTCGTCCCATCTGATGTGTAGTCGCAATGATAACTTACCAGTCTGATTCTCTTCCGGGCTGAGATTTGTTTCTTCTTCCCTTTAAAAGTTTTGAAATATTCTAATTCCTGGGGATTGAATCCAGATTCATCTTCAATTTCTTCGACCGGGAGCTCGTCGAGATCGGAAATGTCTGGAGAGCCGATGTTTATCAAGTTATCCTGGAGAGCCTGTAACCCTAATAATTACAAAACGAAAACGTGGGATAGAGCATTTTAAAGAGAAAGAGAGAGAGAGAGAAATGGGGTTTTACGTCCACTCGACACAAACTAGGTCATTTCGGGATTAATATATGGTTTTAATTTTATTTCAATAATTCGCTTGCGCGTAGGGGTCTTTAGCAGTGGTAGGAAACCGGAGGACCCGGAGAAAATCCACGGGGTTGGACAGGCGACTCCTTGTCACGTACAACCGGGGATTCGAGAGCATTTTAAAATAAACCCAGCAATCAACCTCCTCCCCCAGTATAGACCCCCTTTACATCTAACGTAAACCCAACGTCGAAGAGTGTCTTCCAAAGAAATTAAAATGAAATGAAATGGGGTTTAACATCCTACTGTTCTGCTCTGACTGGGCTACTAACGACGAGCATACGCCATACAGTATGCTATGAGGGAAATTTTGCTCGGACAGCGGCACTATGGCCTACTTTTATATCGAATTCCAACTGCCAAGTGATCTTTTACGTGCTCGCCAATGTGTTCGCGGACCTCGGTTTTTGTCCCATCCGAATGACTAGACAATTATCCTTTTCAGACGTCCATACAGCACCTGTGACAAGGGGAAACCACGGCCAACTCCGGTAGCGAACCCGCGAACTCCAGGCTAGCGAGCTGGTGTCTTACCCACTTAGCCACCGTGCCTGCGTCTTCCAAAGAGCAAATAATTAACACTTGTTGTCAATAAGGACAAATAATTTACCCCTGCAGTCAACAGAATAGTTCATTTACCCTTGTCACTAATAGAACAAATAATTCACCCTTGTTGTAAATAGAACCAATACCTTACCTATCAGAGTATCCAGGATGTCATTCTGTTTCAATGTTTTTGCTGAGTTCTCTACTAAAATTGTGCTGAGTTTTAAAGCTGTATCCGAAACATCTGTCTACAAAAGAATATGATTATAATAGTAAAGGCTCTCCTAGACAATCTGGTCGTGCATAAATATCGTTTTGATACTAGTAAAGGCTGTCCTAGACAATCTGGTCGAGTATAAATAACGGTATTATAATATACTGAGCGCTATAGAAAACGCATCACTTTTTTTCCCAAATATTTTATTACTAGGTGGTTTTGTATGTATAATATTATGCAATACTATGAACTATTGTTTCACACAATGCTCCCAAACACAAAAAATATCGGCCCGTGTGCAAAAAAAATAATTGCACAAGATGCACATGAAAAACCCAATATTCACGTGCAGCATTGTGTGTGAGCCCTTTAAAAGCATGTTTTCAACTTAATGTGCAGTACATGAACTGTGAAACGTGAATCTGTCGTAATTTGTTGTTGGACGTGTGAAGGAATCGAGCTAGAGATGCCGAGACTTACTGAAAATCAACGGAATGAAGCCATGGGAATGTCCAGGGCTGTCATCAGTCCACTATTGTAAGGTTGGTGGAACGTGTTTGAGTTACTGGATCAACACGTGACCGTCAACGTCCTGGTCCACAACGCGTTACAACCCAGACTCAAGACCGCTACATCCGGGTCACTCATCTGCGTGACAGAGTCCGCCCAGCGACTCGAACAGGTGCAGCAGTCGTCGGAAGACAAGGACCAGTAAGTGCCAACACCGTAAGACGTCGTCTAAGAGAAGTAGGACTCAGTGCACGACGACCTTATGTTGGAACTATCCTCAGGGATCATCACCGTCAGCGGTGTTTGATATGGGCTCAAGGACAACAGACATGGAGAAGAGTAGACTGGCAAAGTGTGCTCTTCAGTGAGTCGCTTTCATCTTTATCACGCTGATGGCCGTCAACGTGTGTGGAGACGTCTTGGGGAACATCTTGCAGACTGCTGCGTCTTCGAAACGGATCGATGGGGTGGGGGAAGTGTAATGGTGTGGGTAGGCTTCACATTTCATCACCGGACCGCCCTACACATTTGCAGGGGTCGCGTTAATGCTGTAGCCTACCGTGATGATGGCCCTTGGAGGGACACACGCGCTACTGACATCTGTGTCGTACTTTTGGTTTTAACCCATCTGACTTTGTACCCTTGATTACAGATTAAACATCCATAAGTGTACAAATGTTTTGTTATTGATGTGTTCCCATTTGAATATTGTTCACAATAAGAAGCAAAATAAATAAGATATGTTTACAGGACCATTTTGTTATACGAAAAACTAAGTGATGCGTTTTCCATGGCGCTCAGTATATATAAGGTTGTCCTAGACAACCTGGTTGTGTATTAATAACGTTTTGATACTAGTAAAGGCTGTACTAGACAATCTGGTCGTGTATAAATAACGCTTTTATAATAGTAAAGGCTGTCCTAGACAATCTTGTTGATTATAAATAACGGTATTATAATAGTATAGGTTGCCCTTGATAAAGGTATTAAAATGCTTTATTCAATGGTTTTATAAATTAATAAAACTATTAATTAAAAGATAATTAAATACATGCATATACTTTAGGCAACTTGAAACTTTTACAAAAGAAACAAATAATGTTATAAGCTAATACTAAATATTAAAAAGCTGAATTCGTTAATTGTGGTTTGGTCTGAAGAGTTCTATCCATTCATACCTGTGTTTTTTCTGTAACAATATCAGGATTGGGAACAGATGTTGCAACACTCCTGGCGAATTTCAAAATATCCAGAGTTTGAAGAGCGCCATTTTTAATTGCACTATTAACTGATGACGTGGATTTTGTCATGACACCTTCCAGTGCCTGTAAAAATAAAAATCGATAATCTACTTACTAAAGTTTGGTATCTGATGATGATCCATCGTGGGGGTGGCAATCACGAAAGTGTGTCCACGCTTACAAGGTGTACGAAATATGGAACCCCCGTTTTGTTAATGTGTTTATGGATCTTTGATAGGATTGGTAAGATACGGTAGATGATGCGATAGACGGTACAACTGAGATAAAGGTAATTGTTTGTTTTAACTGCATTTATCTCCTCAATAACTATAGGAGTTGGAGTGTATTGGCAACAATCTGACTGTAGGGATCATTCCCAGTTCGAGTAAGGTACCAACTTGACAGCAGACCCAAGTAGCTTATGAGGGAAGTAATTTTATATGTATTTGTCTACCGTATATATAGAAGTACTCTATCGTCTTCCCATACTGTACCAGACCACTAGTATATAGTGTTCAGGGTGAGTCCTTCCCATGGTATATCGGACCTTTAGCATAGTGTTCATAATGATCACTTCTTCTGTTATATCGGACCTCTAGCATAGTGCTCATGGTGAGTCCTTCCCATGGTGTATCGCACCTCAAGCATAGTGCTCATGATAATCCCTTTCTAGGTTATATCGAACCTCCAGCATAGTACTCATGATAATCCCTTCCCAGGTTATATCGAAC